AGGATGTCTCTGTTTGTACAAAACAAATGTAAGCCCTATATTATAGTAGAACAGCTGAATATAATGAGAGGGCACAAGGGCCGGACTGTGTTGGACACAAGCTTGTACACCCCCCGAGATTCTTTTCATTGACTCTTTATTTCAAAGGGCTGCCTGCCTCCCAAATCACTATCACCTTTATCAGAGCCCCCTTTTGTGGCCTGAGCTGAATGGAACCCAAGCTGAAGTCCTAAGAATGCATAGTCTTCACACCCTACATGTTGAGCCTATCTCTCTGAGTCACCACTCCAATTCTGATTTTTTTTTTTTTTTTTTTTTTGGTGAGGGAGATCAGCCCTGAGCTAACATCCGTGCTAATCCTCCTCTTTTTGCTGAGGAAGACCAGCTCTGACCTAACATCTATTGCCAATCCTCCTCCTTTTTTTTTGTTTTCCCCCAAAGCCCCAGTAGATAGTTGTATGTCATAGTTGCACATCCTTCTAGTTGTTGTATGTGGGACGCGGCCTCAGCACGGCTGGAGAAGTGGTGCGTCGGTGCGCGCCTGGGATCCGAAGTCGGGCCGCCAGTAGCGGAACGCGCGCACTTAACCACTAAGCCATGGGGCCGGCCCTCCAATTCTGATTAATATCAACATGATTAATATCAACCACACATGGGCCATGGGATCTGGCTTCCTGAGTGGACACCAAGGTACAGGGGATGCAACCTCTAAGTCACTGCCTATGGGATAACCTTGACCAATGGGAAGTGGGAAGCAAGAGGAAGCTGGGAAGATAATTTCCTCCTCCTTTCTCCCTTCTGTGGATTCCTCCAAGGGGTGGTTTCACCTTGCACCCTGTCTGGAGAAAGTCCTCTTTGCCAAGGGAAAATGCCTGTCAGGCAACTGGCTGTTTCTCTTTGCAGCTCATTTTGAATGGTAACCAATGCAGTAATATTGTTTTGCATCTTTTTTTTGCTTCACTTCTCTTTTCCTCATCCTCCCCATCCTGAGCTTGTACCTCCCAAATAAAGTGTCATACTTTGATTCTTCCCTTGGGCCCTGCTAAGACACTTGCTAACCTTGTCCTCAAGACTGGATGCTTGAGCTGGGATGCTTCCCCACTCTAGTAGACATGATTGGGATTCACCAGCATAGCTGGGTCTCCTCCCCTTCTAGGCATGTGGAAGAAAACACATCTCTGACTCTTGAAATTAGGCATGGCCATGTGACCTGCTTTGGCCAATGATGCGTTAGCAGAAGGAGCATGTTTCACTCCCAGAAATGGGAAGAGCATTTAGGAAGCAGTGTGTAATTCATGCTCCTCTTCCCCTGCCACAGTGACTGTGGAAAGGTGTGTAGATACAGCAGCACCACAATATGTAGGCAACCTGGAAGGCTGAGCCACCATCTGGGCAACAGCTGCCCTGAAGAAATGCCCAGATCTACAGTGTAATTTGCACAGGTGAGAAACAAAGTTCTGTTGTGTCAAGCTGCTGAGATGTTAGTGTTCGTTGTTACCTCAGCATAACCTTGCTCATACTAACTGATGTTCCATTTCCAAACCATGTGAAGGCGGGGTGCTCAAGAGAGTCACTCACTGTCATGGGAGGAGGGCTTGAAGAAGAGGACACAGGCATCTTGCTCCCTAGCTGATGTCTGCTGAGCCCACCATGCTTTCAGTGCAGAGCATGGTCGGGGCGATCATTCATCATCCATTCACTCAACAAATCATCATTGAGCACCTACAACATGCCAGGAACAGTTCCAGGGGCCAGGGAATGAGCAATGGACAATAGAACTGATACTATAAGTGTCGCCTAGAGTTTGGGTAGCTTTTGTGAACGTGTGTGTGTGTGTGTGAGGAAGATCAGCCCTGAGCTAACATCCATACCAATCTTCCTCCTTTTTTGCTAAGGAAGACCAGCCCTGAGCTAACATCTATTGCCCATCCTCCTCCTTTTTTTTTTTTTTCCCTTTTTCTCCCCAAAGCCCCAATAGATAGTTGTATGTCATAGTTGCACATCCTTCTAGTTGCTGTATGTGGGACGCGGCCTCAACATGGCCGGACAAGCAGTGCATCAGTGCGCGCCCAGGATCTGAACTCGGGCCGCCAGTAGCAAAGCGTGTGCACTTAACTGCTAAGCCACGGGGCCAGTCCGAACCAAGAATTTCTTATGTGGAGACTTCTGAAGGTGGGAGGATTGCTGGAGCTGCTTGTGAGAGCAAGAGAAGAGGAATATGCTGTAGTGGACCTACAAAAACAAGGATGGGCAATCCCGCCTCCCCACAGATCTTGGAAGGAGGAGAAGGAGACCCAGCAGTTTCTATGGCTTCAAGAAAGGTCAAAAGCAAGAGCCACAGGACTGCCCTGCTGGCCAGGAGAAGTGATGCCTCGTTCAAAGAGGGATGGGTTGTGGGCTTTGGCTGGGCTGAAGGGAGACACAGTGGCCTGCCTCTGAGAGGATCCTGAGTGATGGATTCAAACAGAGCAAAGCTGAGCAGTGCCTCAGGAAAGCAGAGGCCATCATCACCAGCCATGGGCCAGAGTGAGGTCAGGCCTCTTCCACACCAACAGGTAACTAGTGACATAAGACACGAGTCTTAAGTGACAGACTCTACGGTGGTTCCCCACGATCCCTGCCTCCTGACATTGATGTCCTTGTATAATCCCTTCCCCATGAGTGTGTGTGGGACCTGTGGCTTGCTTCTTACCAATGGAATATGGCAAAGGTACAACTAATTACGTGTATTCGATCACATTAGATTGTAACGCCCCTCTTGCTAGAGATGCTCTATCTGACTTCGAAAAAGTAGGCAGCTACATCTGGACGCCCAAGTGGCAAGGAGCTGAGGACGGCCCCTAGGAGCAGAGGGCAGCCTCCAGCCAGCAGCCAGCAAGAAGCTAGAGACCTCAGTCCTACAACCACAAGGAAATGAATCCTGCCAACAACCTGAGTAGCTTGGGAGAGGATGCTTCCCTGGTCACACCTCCAGATGAGAACGCAGCCTGGCAGTCACTTTGATAGCAGCCTTGTGAGACCCTGAGTAGAGGACCTAGCTAAGCTGTCCTCAGACTCCTAACCCACAAAAACTGAAATATTAAATGCGTGTTGTTTTAAACTGCTAAGTTTGTGGCAATTTGTTACACAGCAATAGATGCCGCTCTCTCCCCTCTCCTCCCAGTGCTGCCCCAGCCTCAGAGGGTGGGAGAGGAGGAGAGCAGACCACGTCCCCTCCTCACCCCAACACCCTCAGCCACTGGCCAGGGGAACAGTGTGGGAGAGGGGAGGAAGGAAAAGAAGTTTAAATCACAGATATATGATTGGATATTGGAGTTTTAAAATGGACGAAATTGAACTCTTAATGCTCTAAAGCGAGTGAAAATTATAGCATCTGCTCAAGACGTTGTTACGGAGGAAGAAAGAGGGCAGAGCCTGGTTGAAAGTAGTGGCTGCAGAACAATAAAACCATGTCAGGTTTGAATCCCACGGAGTTGAGACTACTCAATCAATTGGTTTTATCATTGATTTTCAGGAGGTCCACCTCCTCCTCTAACTTGCTATGAATGCTGGGCAAGTGACTCTCCTCTCTGGCTCTCAGTCTTCCATTCAATAAAGTGAAGAGTTTGGGGAAGATCTTTAAGGCACCTCTCAGTCTCATTTCCAACCCCTGGGGGCTGGGACCAAGGGTAAGGCAACAGTTTGTAAGGAAGGGAAGAGGGAGCAGGCAGCTCAGGGGGCGGGAAGGCCTCAGGGTGTGGGTGTGCCTGGGCCAGCAGTGACTGCTGGGAAAAGTGCTCTCCTGCCCAGAGCTGGTGGGGAATAGCTCTCCAGGCTGAGAGTGGGGGATCCAAACTCCTTCCTGGGCACAAGGCAGCAAGTAATTGGCCCTGGTCCCCTCCAGCTGCATAAATTGCTGCTGGCAGCCCCCAAGCCAGCTTCTGCTCTAGTCACAGGCTCCCTGGCAGCTCCCCCATACATTATGCCATTTCCCTCTTCCGTGCATTTGCACGTGCTGGTCCCTCATCTAAAACACCTTTCCCCACCTTCTTCAACTCTACTCATCTTCCACAACTCAGCTCAGTCTCCTCTTCTGACATTGCAACTCCTTATACACACACATGCACAGCCCCCCCCCAGGCCAGATGAGGAGCCTCTGAGGTGGGCTCCCATAGCGGCAGCCCACACCACTAACTCACCACAACGTTTAACAAGTGTCAGTTGGCAAGGCGTCTCCACTACCCGACATCTGGTGACAATATCCTTTTTCTCTTCAGGTTCTCAGCCCCAAGAACGGTGCCTGGCACATAGTCATGGACTGTTCGCCTAAATCACAGTGAAGTTAGTAAAAGAAGATCGGTTTCTAGTCCTAACTCTGCCACCAACTTCTGAGACACTGAAAGACCCTGGCCATGGCATTTAACTTCTCTGAGCTTCAGTTTACCCTTCTGGAAAATAGGTACAAAATTCCCCGTCCCTTCTCATTTGTGAGGAGCAAATGAGAGAGAAATGGGATTGAGGGAGAAATGGGATTGGTCCCCTGGTGCTGCAGGAGGTATAAGCACACTGCAAATTGAAGACATCAGCACTGATGTTATTAATAATAACTCCTAATAGTGTTGTTACTAATAACGACCTGCTTAGTCAGAGGAAATGCCCCCTCCCTTCCTCCAAGATGGCCTGGTTTTGCCCTAACCCAGCTCCATTGACTGCTGGAGGATGAAGCCAGGCCCTCTCCTCTCTATCCCCTTGTCTCACAGATTTCATATGACCTCAAAAAGTCCTTCCAGAAGTCTAACCAACATCCTTCCTGTTGCAGCCCTGCCCTCTTCCCTCCTCATGTGTCCTAAGAGCATAATCCTGAGAATGAACTTCAGAGGAGCCTGAAGCCCAAGCACCCTATAGGGTTTATCCTTCTGAGGTTAACATCCCCATTGCCACTGCTCAGAACAGAAGCCTAGAGAGAGAGAGAGAGAAAGGGAAGTCCCAGTCTGGAAGGAGGGAGTGGAGAAAGAATCAGGTGGTATAGAGGTCAGATAGCAGTAAGCACTTCCCAACACCCAAACACGGAGTGACACAAATACCCACCACCACACCACCACCACCTTCAGCTGCCTGGCTTCCGGGGGAGGGACAATTGTCTTACGGCTTTCCATGACGCGAGTCCTCTAGCAGAGTTCAAGCTGTGGGCGAGGCGACACTTCCTGCCCCGGGGGGCTGGGGTGAGAGGAAAGATGGGTTGCTGAGTGTGCACACCTTTGAGAGCACACACACACACCCTGCTCCGGGGCTCCCGTCTTAGGCTGCCCCCATGGAGTTTCCCCTGGCCCAGATATGCCCCCAAGGTAAGTGTGAAGTTGGAGAATGTGGGTGGGAGGGAACATCAAGACCCCCATTACCCCTGCTCTCTCTCCTGGGCCTGAGCTCCCACTTCAGGGGTGAGGGGCCCCACCCCAAGCCAGAGCTGACAAGGCTCATTGGCAGGGTGCCCACCACCCCTTCCCCTTTTCTGCGGCTCCAGGTCCACTCAGCCCTGAAGACAAAGGTGACAGGGACTGTTGAGTGCTTCTTAGAGAGGAGAGAGGAGGGAGCAGGAGGATGAAGTGGGGTGGGACGCAGAGGATCCTGGGCCAGAAGAGGGGCCTGACCTGAAGAGATCTTCTTCCCCTCCCCACTTGTGGGACTTCTGGGCCACCAGAAGTCCAGCTGAATTCCCAGCTCTCCTTCCTGGTTCCCGGTTTCCCTGACAAGCCCCTCTGTGGCCTCAGCCCCTCTGCCGCCTCCCTGGCTCCTTACTCCTCCGCCCTGAGAAATCCCTCCTGCTGTCCCTCCTGCATTTCTTCTGCTGTCATGACTGTCCCTGCCTCCAGGTCCCTGGTCAGAGGCACGCAGGGCCCCTCTGAGCCTGGGGGATGGGTGGTGGCAGAGAGAGGCAGTCCCTCACTGAGATACCCCAGCTGTCCTCTTGATCTAACAGGGAATCGAGAAACCCCCGCCCCAACCTTCAGCACCTTCCAGCCCATGAACTTGACCGGCAGGAGCTGCCAGGGCCTGGGCTCACTTCCGGGGCCCAGACTCCAGGCCCTGAAGGCTGAGGAGGCCCAGCCCAGCCCCAGGGCCCTGGCTGTCCACATTGTGGTGAGTGGGAACCTGGGGGGTGAGGCTCCCTCATCTGCTCTCACCCTCCCATGGGTGAGGACTTGCAGACGGACAAAGGCCAAAAGGTAGAAGGCAGGAATGATCTGGGGTTGCCGACAGGGCTACGGGCACAGAGGGAGGGAAAGGAGATGGGGGAGCGGGTTTCCTCCATCATTTGCTGAACTGCCGACTTACTCTGTCCCTGGGAAGCTGGGGCTGAGTCCACAGGTGACCAGGGTACATGTATTGGGCCCCAGAAGCGGGCATCTGCATCTCTGTCCATGGCCTTCCTCTGCCCAGTGCATCCCCATCTCAGGCCTTCTCACCCACCCAGTCATTAGGAAATCCCCTCTAGGAACCAGCTCAATCTCTCCTACTGTAGGGTGAGCGCTCCCTCACTCTGGCCTCTGGGGTGACCTCCTACATCATTTTCCTTCATCCCTCAAGCCAAGGACTGACTTTCTGTCTATCTGGAAGGCCTCACCCTCATTTAAGCACAGTTGAACAGCTCACTGCTACTGAATTAAAGACCCTCAGGACCTAGAAGGAAGTGGAAGGAAATTCCCTGGAAACCAAAATAGCTGGAGCTGAAGAAGGGATTTAAGTTAGACCTTGGGAAGGACTTTCTGGGTAATTATACCCTAAAATAGGCAACTGGGATGGGGGTGGGGAGCTTCCTCCCCATGCCCAGGAGGGGCTGAGTATGGATAAGATGATGGCACCTGGCTTGGAGAAGGCTCACTAACTGAACTCTAAGTTCCTCCGCCTTGAACTCTCCCCCTATCCAGGCATCTCCGCAGGCCCTGGGGGCTGCCTCCAACCCAGAGAATACTGGGAAGGATGAGGAGGTGCCTAGGGAAGGAGGCCAGTCCCTGCAGGCCGAGACCCGGGCTTGGTTCCAGAAGACCCAGGCCCACTGGCTCCTACAGCATGGGGCAGCCCCTGCCTGGTTCCACGGCTTCATCACCCGGAGGTGAGTCACAGAGAAGGAAACAGGTCCAGAGAGGGGCAGGGGCAAGTCCTGGGTCCTGCGGCCAGTCAGGAGTAGACTGAGGCTACAAGTCTGGGCTGTGACTCCTGGGGTTCCCAGCCATTCACTAAGGCATCTCTCCTGGGGGAGATCTCTGGAGAGGCTCCGGCCCAACCCTCTGTCTCTCAGTCTCTCTCTCACTCCATCTTTACCTCGGGCTCTCTCCAGTCCTCTCCTCTTTCTTCCCTCCCTTGCATTTCCTCCCTCCTCCATTTCTCAGCTTTCCTTCTCCCGTATCTCTTTGTTCATCTCCGTTCTGCTTGTGACTTCCGAAATCTAAGTCTATTACCATCCCTGTTGCTACAGCCGAAGCCCACACCACCCCTCAAACACACAGACCCTGCAGGCCGCCCTTCCAGGATGAGGCCGGGAGAAGGATGCAGGGTTGGGAGACCTTCAGGTGGGAACCCTGGCCCCTATCCACGCCCAGTCCCTGCACCGAGAGAGCAGTGCCCACATCCTCTCTCTCACCTCCTCGCTTCTCTAGCCATTTCAGCCCGCTTGGTTGAGGGTAGGGGTCCCCTCTGAGAGCCAAGGAGACAGGGGGCAAGATTCAAAGAGTCAGAGCAGCGTTCCGTCTCTTCTCCATGACCCACAGGGAGGCCGAGAAGCTGCTGCAGACCAAGCCTCTGGGATGCTACTTGGTGCGGTTCAGCGAGAGTGCCGTGACCTTCGTGCTGACTTACAGGTGAAGGGTGGGGCTCCGCACCGGGCGACCTGGAGGCGGGGCTTCGGGCTAATCGGAGGGGCGGGACTTGGTGCTGACGGACGTGTGAGGGACAGAACTTCATGCTGACCCCTCTCAGGAGCGGGGCTCTTTGCTCAGCCCCCGGGCTGGAGAGTGGGAGACCCTGGCGCGGGGCGGGTAGAGGGAGCCGGTCTGATCCCGACTGGCGCCCTCCAGGAGCCGGACTTGCTGTCGCCACTTCCTGCTGGCCCAGCTCGCGGACGGGCGCCACGTGGTGCTGGGCGAGGACAGCGCCCACGCGCGGCTGCAGGACCTGCTTCGGCACTACACGGCCTGCCCACTCAGCCCCTACGGGGAGACGCTCACCGAGCCCCTCGCCCGCCAGGTACGTCCCCCGCCCTGACCCTGACCCTCAGCCCAGGGACCCAGGCCAGAGCCCCTCCCCACGCAGAGCCCAGGCCGCAGCACCGCGGCATCAGACACTTCGTCATCCCAACAGAGGACCCAGCCATGCCTCCCTTGCCCACACATCTCCGCAAAGCCCTTCGAGAAAGATGCTGGGGGAGGGGTCCTTGAGAGACCAGACCAGCCACACAGAGACAGAAGGAGCTGGGCGTGGCCAGCTAAGCACACGGGTCATTTGTTTTTCAAATTGAGATATTTTCTGAGTACCTAGCATGTACCAGGTGCTGGCAGGCCCTGGAAAAAGAGCCATGGACAAGGTGGGCGATTCACCAAGCTTTCTTACCAGCAGCAAAGACAGACAATAAGAATCAAGTGTGAAGAGAGAGGAAATACAGAGTGGGGTGCATGTGGCTCACTTGGCAGGGAGCTGTGTCAGGGGGTGCCTGCCTGAGGAAGTTCTGGCAGGTCTGAGGGACCACTGTGTGCCAGGCATTGGTCTGGGCACTGAGAAAATAGCAGTAAACAAAACTGACCAAAATATCCCTGCCTTCATGGAGCTTACATTCTAGTGAGAGGAGACAGACAACAAACACGTAATACAGATAACAACGGATAATACATCCTATGTCCAGTAATGAGAAGTAAGGGCTAAGAAGAAAAACCAAGCAGTGACAGGGAGTGACAGAGTTGGGGCTATTTTACATAGGGACATCAGGGAAAGCCACTCTGGTAAGAGGACATTTGAACAAAGGCCTGAATGAAGGAAGGGAGGGAGCCATGCAGACAACTAGAGGAAAAGCATTCTAGGCAGAAGCAGGTGCAAAGGACCCGAGGTAGGAGGATGCTTGATATGTTTGAAGAAGAGTGAGAGCAGTGAGGAAGCTAGCATGGGTGGAGAGGTAAGAGGTGAGATCAGAGAAATGAAGGAAGGGGGCTCTGTAGACTCTTGTATGGATTTGGGATTTTATTCTGAGTGAGATGAGATGGCACTGGACAGTTACAAGCTGTGGAGTGACATGACCTGGCAAGTTTGGGAGGGGCAAGGGTGACCAGATGGAGGCTACTATGATACTTCAGGTGAGATGATGGCAGCCTGGACCAGGTTGGTAGAGGCGGAGGGGTGAGGAGATAGAATGCTGGTCTGTTTTAAAGGTGGAGCTGACAGGGTTTTTGCAGGATTGGACGAGGAGAATGAAAAGACGGAATTGTCATTGAACTGAGGTGAGGGAGGCTCTGGAGGAGCAAGGGGGGCGGGGGAGATCAGGAAGTCAGGTTCCGCATCCACAGTTTGATATCCATTCAGTATCCCAATGGAGATGTTAGGTAGACAGTTGGAATATGTAAATCTGGAGTGTGGGACAGGCCTGGGCTGGAGATAAACGTTTGGGAGTCATCAGCATATAGATGGATTGATGCTAAAGCCTTCAAGAGGGGTGAAATCTCCCTCCGGAGTGAGTGGTAGACGGAAAAGAAAGAAATACCGAGTCTTCAGCAGTTAGAGTGTGCAGAAATGAGGGAGAACCTACAAAGAAAATTGAGAAGGAGCAGCCAGCAAGAGAGGAGAAAAACCAGGAGACTGTGATGATCTGGAAGCCAAGCAAAGAAGATGTGTCAAGGAAGATTGGGTGCCAGTGGGTCCAGAATTGGCCACTGGATTTAGCCGAGAGGAGGTCACTGGTGACCTGGGCAAGAATGGTTTCTTGGCGCTTGATTGGAGTCAGTTCAAAGAAATGTGCCCTGTGGGACTATGCCTATGGGCAACTCTTGTGTGGAATTTTGTGAGGAATAGGCGGAGACCTGAAGATTCCCTAGCAGTGGGAACAGAGTGTCGGGAAGTCTGGAGGTGAGGGGAGCCAGCTGGAGCTGAGAGATTTGTCAGAGACCAAGCTCTGACCAGGTCTCAAAGGGTCTTATCACTCAAGTTCTCTGGAGTTTGGACTTTACCCTGGAGCAAGGGCAGTCACTGAAGTATTGCGAGGGGAATTTCTGCAGGCTCACTCTGCCGTGTGGAGAATGGGTTGGCAGGGCAAGATGACGGAGGAGGAGGAATCAGGAGGCCTGAACTGGGGTGGTGGCTGTGGGCCTGGAGAGAAGGGTACAGATGTAAAGATAGGCAGTGGAAGGAGCAGGGCTTGTGTTCCATTAGATGTGGGGAGGAAGGGAGGGTGGTGTCAAGGTTGACTCCTAAGGTCAGCAGGGTGGTGGTGCCACTTTTTATTCACTAAGGGAATGCTGAGAGAGGAGGGGGTTGGGGCAGGGGAAAAGAATTCTGATTTGGATCCATGAAGCCTGCAGTGCCTGTACACCTCCAGATGGAGACATGCACTTGGTGGATTGCAGAAGCATGAGAAAAGCCTTATGGCCTGAGTGTACCAGTAGCAATGGGCATATGGAGAGCATCCATGAACCCAGGGCTAACTGCTGAGCTAAAAGCACACATACTGTGGGAAGAAACCTCCCCACTGTAAGGTTCATCTCCCCTCAGGCAGTCTCTCTGCCCCTAAAATATCAAGCTTATATCTCCATAAAGTACTCCTCTGGCACCTGCAGAAATCAACACAGGCACAGCAGTCTTGGAGATCTATCCCCATGCTGAAAATTTTTAGGCTAAAGACTTCTAAAGCTTTGTTGCGTTTTTACAACCACAGGCACAAATGGAGACTGGCCTGCCTTGTGTTCCAGATGAAATTAAGTTTAATGCTAGATATGGCCTGTGATCAGAGCTACTTACCTACCCCCTGGTCTCCTTGCCATCTCCATCCCCTCTTCCTCACTCAGGGAACCCAGCGCAAGCCAAAACCTGCGCCTCCCTCTGGCCCCTTCCCCCTACATCCTCCACATAGACCAGATTATTTTGTCCTCCTGGATCACCTTCCCACCCTCCTGCACCAAGTCCCTGAGGCCTCCTTCTTTCCCATCAGACTCCTGAGCCCGCAGGACTTTCCCTGAGGACTGAAGAATCAGACTCTGGAAACAAAAGCCAGGACCCACACCCTCAGTATAGCCCAATCCTCAAAAAGGAGCAAATAGCAGCTTCCACGCAGAAAGAGGGGGCCGCGCAGCCGAAGGAGGTACTATTGGGCTGGAGGGCCGAGGGAGGAGGCAGGGCCTGAGGAAGGGGAGGAGCCGGGGACAAAAAGGAGGGAGCGGCCTGCGGGGAGGAGCGGGGCCAACGGGAGGGGCGGGGTCTACAGAGGGCAGAGGCTCGGGCTGGGGCTTCGGCTCCCGCTGTTGCCAGGCCGAGGTGACTCTGACCCGCTGCCCTCCCCGGCCTCTCCTCTCCTAGCCCTCCCAGCCGCCAAGGCCCAAGCCTCGTGTCGCTGCCAAACCTCAGCTGCCCCCCGAAGTCTACACAATCCCGGCTCCGCGACCCCGCCCGGCCCCGCCCCCCAAGCCCTCCAACCCCATCTACCAGGAGCCTGATGAGCCCATAGACTTCTATGCCATGGGCCGGGGCAGCCCCGGGGAAGCCACCAGCAACATTTACGCCGAGGTGGAAGTGGGGGTGCCGGCAGGGGAGGAGGGCCCGCCGTCTGTCCTCCAGCACCTGGTCCTACGGAAGTGCCGGTCCAAGCCTGTGCCAGGAAGCCAGGTGAATGGAGGTGCAGGGAAAAGTTAGACCACAAGAAGGACTTCCTGAAAGCTAGATTGGGGAGGGTAGAGAAGGTGTTCAGATTGGATGCCTGGTCTGGGTGAAGGTCAGAGGTCTGAGGTGAGATGGGAAGGACAGAGGGTCCAGGCTGCCGGCAGCCCTTTTCCACGCCCACAGATTGCTCCCTCCACTCTCCCTGGAGTCACTGGGACCTGCCTCTCTTGTCAAGTCCCCACTCCCTCCCACATCACAGAGAAAACTGAGGCCCCAGGCAGGGGCCCCTTGGCCTTCCCCCACCCGAGCGTGCATTTTGGTATGTGTCCCTCTCACCCGGCTGGTCCTCTTCAGACCCACCTGAGATTGACCCCACCCTGTGCCATGAATCTGGGCTCCACCCATCCTCTCCTCCCCAGTCTGCACTGGGGCCTCTCCTGCTTTGGGTCCCTCAGCTCAGCCTTCATGGCCTTGCCATCCTGAAGAGGAGTGTTTGGAGATGTCATCTCAGATGAGCTCAGGGGAGGGGGCACCCACATTCCCCCTCCTTCCACACATTCCCCCCTCCCTCTTCTATCCCCTCATCTCCCATCTTCTCAGTGATCCACTGATCGGTTCAAGTCAGTATCAAGTGTCATGGAATGTGTTAGACCCACCATCCACTCCCCCGCTCCCTTTGCCTCTGCCCCCCTCCTCAGGCCCTTCCCCACCCTCCCTCCCTTCTGGTGCTCCAGGCTCCCTCCCAGCCCTTGTGCCTGCTCACACTCACCCACACCCCTGCCACCTGCTCCCATCCTAGAGCTGATGTCCCCAGTCCATATCTCTATCCAAACTTCTCTCTAGGCTTCTGCTCAGCTCCCCAGCATCCCACAGCCTCTTCGACTCAACACAGCCAACACCGCCCTCACCCTTCTCCCCCAGGTTGCTCCCCCGGTGTTCCCTCTCTGGATTGGTAACTCTCCAGACACCCAGCTATCCAAGCCAGAATCCTAGGGCTCCTTTGACATCTCCCCCCTCTTCACCTCCACTCCCCCATAAGCCATTGATTCCTGCTGGGTCATTTCCTAAATATATTTTTCCTTTCCCCAGTTTCAGCCCCCATCATCTCTTATCAGGACTTTTCCAAGAGCTTCTTAACTGGTCTCGAACCACCAATCTTGCCACTTCTGATCCACCCCCAAGGAAGCCAGAATGGTCTTTCTAAAACAGCTGCCTGGTCCATGATGCCGTCCATACTTGGGTAGGGGATAGGAGCATTACCACCAGCTATTCCCATCCTCCCAGAACTATTCACATTTCTCTAAACCCACCAAGTGGTTTCAGCCACCTAGGGTTTGCACCTGCCAGTCCCTGTCTGTACAGCAACTTCCTGCAAGCTCACCCTCCTGCTGCCCGGCAACCTTTTAATCATCCTTCAAGACCAACTTGCCCTTCTCCTCCTCTGGAAGGACTTTCCTGATCTGACCACACAAGCCATCTACTGTGCTTTATACACACCTGCCATGCCACTGGTCACCTGGGACACCCGTGTCCCCCTCCCCTAGCAGAGTGTGAGCTCCCTGAGGGCAGGGGCTGGGACTTATTCATCTCTGTTTCCAGAGCACCTAGCACAAGGCCTGGCACAGAGCAGGTGCTCAGGAAATGTTTGTTGAATGGATGAATGAATGAATGAATGAATGAGAGGGGTTTAGACCTCCTGTCTGCAGGCCAGCATCTGTTAAGTAGATGTCTTGGCCCTTGAGACTGCAGGTAGGCCTAAGAGGCAGAGGGTAGAGGGTGTGACCTCGGACCATCCTTCTCTCTGCAGAATCTAGGTGGCCGGCAACTGCATTCTGAGAACTCTGTGTCTGGACACGGCCCTCCCATGCCCCACCAGCCCCTGCCCCGCTGGGGAAACACCCTCCCCAACAACCTTTCTAGACAGGTGCTTCAGGACAGAGGACAGCCGTGGCTCCCCCTGGGGCCTCCTCAGTAGCTGGTGAGTCTGAGTTGGGGAAGGATAGCTTGGAACATCAGGTCCAGAGACTATCACACACACCTGGCACCCTTCTCAGGACATGTGGATGGAACAAATGGGAGGTGATCAAAGCTGGAAAGGACCTCAGTCATCATCTATTGCAAAGATGGCAAAAATATGTCACCTTGCATGCCAGCTCCAATCCATTGGTCGTGGCTGCCTAGGGGGCTGCATTGGAAAGGATATTAAGGTCATATCCAAACTCAGCAGAAAAGAGCACTGTGATTGATTAGTGATGTCTGCCACGGGTGAGGGAGGGAGGAGGAACAGTATGTCCTTTGTCCTTACTGATCAAGTCCAACTACCTAGCTGTGCAGATAAGGAAAAAAAACAGAGAGGGCTAGTGACATGGCCAAGGTCAAGGCTTGGTGCTCTGTTCCTTACCCCACATCCACTAACTCTTCTCCACAGGAAATATCAGAGATTTCCTGATAGGAAATCTGGCTGCTTTCCAGAGTTCCACCACATGGGGGCCTGGGCGCTGGTTCCTGTCCTCCGGACTCCAGCTTAGCCCTGTCCCCCTGACAGGTCCAGGCCTCCCACAAAGAAGCCTGGAGGTCAGACAAGTAAATGTGGAGTCCACTACCTTGTAGGGACACACCTGCTGGTTCCCTCCCAAGAGTCCCCAAGAATCCAATGGCTCAGTGCTTGGTGACCCTCTAAGGAAGTGGGCTAGGAGGACCCTGCTGCCTCCCGCTGCCCTGGTTTCTCCTCCTGGAGTCTAATTTCCTTGGCCCTCTGAGCCTTTGAGTCTGGGCCCTGGTCCAATGCTGCTGTTGTCTGAGGAATGGTTTGGCGAGAACAGATGTTAGAACTTGTTTGTTGATTCTTGTCTGGCTAATAAATCATCGCCAACCACCTCCCCCCACAGGGATCCAAATCCTCCAGGCTCCTTCTGTCTCCGTCTCTGAATCTCTTTCTCTCATATTGTGGAAGGCAAGTGGTTGAACTGCCACTGCAGGGGTTGAGAGACACCTCGGCAAGGGTCACAGATCTGTGGGCTGGGGACCGGGAGACACCAAGGCAACGGACACAGACGTCTCTCTGCAAAGTATTCCTTCCTGGGCTGAGCTGGGCTGGGCTGGGCAGGGAGCCGGGTGGTCACATCACCTGGGAGGTGCCAGGAAAGAGGTGCAGGGAGGGGAATGGCTGAGGGTTAGCCGCTGCCCCTCCGTCCCCAATACCACTGCCAAGCGCAGGAGTGGGGAGGAAGGGGGCACTGTTAGCCTGTGTGTGTGAGCCCCTTAGGAGGCTGGGGAGCCCCCTGCAGTGGCTCCAAGACTCTCTTCGGTGTCTTCCCAGCCTCCTGGGCTTAGCCCTTTGCCTCAGTCAGGACTCCATTCCCTTCCATCCCTCCTGTGAGGCTTCCTCCCCTCTCTGCCCAGACCCACTTCGGGGCCAGCCTCCTGCCCCCGTGCAAAGCTCCACACTTGGGGCTTCAACTGCCTGGAAGAATCTGCCCTGGGTCTCATTTTTGTCTCAGACTGGGGCTCTCTGAGGCAGGGCTGCGTCTGCTCCTGGATCACCCACAGGGCTCAGGCCTGGGTGCTCCTATGGTCCCATCTGTGTGGCCTGTTCTTACACTCTTATTGCTACGAGAGTTTAGTCCAGGCAATCAGTGCCCGTCAGTGTCCCTCTTCCTGCCAAGGCACAGAAATCCCCCAGACCCTTCCCTGAAGCCGGGTTCCCTAGGCCTGGGCACTGCCACCACCACACCACCCCCAGCCTGGCGCAGGCGCCAGCTCCAGTGACTAGCTTCCCCTCCTTTCCACTCCAGTGCTTATCAGCTTAAGGAGAAATATGGTTGCTGAGTCAACAGAGTTGGGGTTCCACTTCCTTCTGTCTGTGGGTCTAAACTGCCTCCTGAGCAAGGGGAAAGAAGGGGAGGGAGACAGAGGGGAGGGGAAGGGAGTAGATGGCTTTGCCGGAATCAGGCAGGAGGCTGAAAGTGCAAGAAAGGTCTCAGGTTAGACTCAGGGCGTCACCTCGTAGCTGATTCCTTGTGGCAGGGGGAGGAGGCAGAAAAAGGAGAGGCTCGGAGAGTCAGAAAACAGAGAGGATTTCCTTAGCCTTTGGGATATAACAGGAGGGGCAGGTACGGGAGCGGGTGGAGCAGGACCCAGTGCCCCTTCCCCTCCCTCAGTTCCACACCGCCAGGGGTGGAGTCGCCAAAGGGGTGGTGGGAGAATCCAGATGATGGCGTCATCAAGAGCCCTCGGTTCCTGCCGTGACGCTGTGCTACCTAGCTGGACAACCTTTGGCAAGGAACTTTCTTCTGCACCACTGTTCCCCACATTGCTTTGAAATGGAGATAACGCCTCTTTATTTGCACACTGGGCTGATGTACAGATCAGCTGACACCATGAAAATGAAGGGCTTGGCAGAGCAGGACTACTGGGCCTAGAAGGGACTTGAGACCCTTCGTGACTGACTTTTTGGTTCAACCAAATAGGAAACTGAGGTCCAGAGATGGGAGGTGACAGGAAGCTGGAGGCAGTCAGGCCCAGAACTTGTCATCCCAAACCAGTGCTTCCCTTATACTATGGGGCCCCTCCCAGGCAAAAAGATAAAGTCCCCACCTGCCCGGGGGCTCCAGCTGCAGGCCTAGCCCTGAAACCTGGGTGGTGGGGCCTCCCCTGCCCTCAACACAGCCATTGGCACCGCTGCACCATCCTGCTGACCTCACTCCCAAGCTGAGTCCTGGGGCTGTGGTGAGACCTCAGGATGAAGTTGAGTAACTTGTACAGGAAAAGGAGCTGGGGCAATTGTGCTGAGCAGGTTGCTTGTCCCCAGCCAGAGACCACTGGTGTCAGGAGGGGGAGGGCATTTCCCAGCTGACTCAGTCTTCCGGGTCATTCCAGCCCTCCTCTGGCCTCCTCCAGGCAGGGCTTTCTCTGGTTCAGCCCACTCTTGGATCTGAGAGAGGAGCCTCCAGCCCCCAGGCCCAGATCCCCTTCAGAGCCTGCGGCAGGCCTTGCTGTGAGTGAAGAGTCCAGCTCTTCAGCACCGCGGCTGACCCTGATGGCTCTCTGTATTTCTTTCCTGCTCCTGTCTCCGCTAAGCTGCCCCTTGCAGCCTATGTGCTCCCTCAGCTAATGCAGTAGACAGTGTCAGTGAGGTGCCCTGTAACTCTGGCTCAGGGGCAGGCGGGTTGAGAAGTTATTAACCTTATAACCTCAGCTGTCCTGATTCCACAGCACATCACTCCCCATGAGCCCACTCAGGGAGGACTGGGGGCCCATCATCACTGAGGCCCCACCCTCAGCCACCTCTATTAGCCTTAGAACATCTGTCCCGGCCTGAAACAAAGCTGAGGGAAAGGGGGTAGAAAAGGTTAGAAGGCAGCACAGAGCGTTCCAGCATCCTTGCCACTTCCCCAGGCCCCCAGAACTTCAACCATGCCGTCAACAGAGTATGGCTTCTTGGACAGCAAGTTCAGCACCCAACTGGGGTGAAGACCTGGCTGGGCCCCTCCCCAGGGGCCAGTCTTTGGGGTAGGAGCTGAAACAACTCCTTATGACAGCTTTGCCACCTCTGCAGTTTCTAAGTCTGATCCTTAGAGATCTCAGCTTCCCTGGCTTCACTGTCCTGGTCAAAGCAACACTGCACATTCAGGCTTTGCCCTGGCCCCTCCGACATCTTCCAAGGCTATTTGCATTCATTTCTGACCAAGGCCTTCGCCCCTTCCTCCCTCTGCCCCTTGGCTGTTGCTGCCATGCCAATTTTAGCCTACTATCACTCCTTATTCTTCCTTCTCTCTCCCTCATCCCTGTCTGTCTGCTCCTTCCTACTTATCAGAATTTGAGGCTACTACCTCCAGGAAGCCCTCCTAAATGAAGTCTGTCCCTTTTCTAACTCGTTGGTATTTCTCTTTGTGACCAAGAAATTCCAACCACCAAATAAAATGTCATCTTTGGTAGGACTAAAAATTGGCTTAAGATTACTTGCAGAGAACCAAAGGAGGTGGAAAGCAGAGGAACTTGATAGTCATCTGGCCTCTGTCCATTCCTAGAAGACACTGGACTCTCCCTACCCACCATGTCCTGTCTCCCAGCCCAGAGCATGTCCCACTACATCGTGATGCAGCCCCTAAAATGAGACAGTTGCAGAACCGTTGAATCCCAGGAGTACAGCAGCTCAGGAGGGCCGGGCTGCATCTATGGCACACCAGATACAGGCAACAACATTTGACTCTAAGGGATCGCAGACGTTTTCGCCCAGCTGAGCTACCTCACCACCTAAGACACCCCAGAGGGGCGATCTCGGCCCTGGCCCCCATGCCTCTGTGGACGGTGGGAGTGGTGGGACGGGCTCATGCTCCTTGCTGAAGGCTGGCTGGATGCTTGGACAACTACAGCCCAAGTGTCCCTGAGGGACACAGGAGCCCTGTCTGGCTCCAACCCGAAGTAGGTCAGATTTCAGATAAGCGGGTGGTTTTCCTGTAAGTGATGAAACCCTCCTCTGTCCTTAATGAGAAACAGACTCCTCAACTTACCCCAGCAAAAGACCAGAAGCACAGTGCGATTCCTCACTTCCACCTCTTCCTCCTCTTCCTCCTCATTCCAGGCACACATTTCTTCCAACTGCCCCTCTGGCCTTCCCCTTCCTCTCTGTCACCAACTGTCAAACACTAATTCCTCCCAGCGTTTCCCTGTTCAGACCTGCAACAACTGCAGTCACGCATCTCCATCCAGTCAACACTCTGCCTGGCACCCAAGGCCCTTCTTCTGGCAGGAGTTTCTTCAACGCTCCCTTCCTGCAGGAAGCCACTGCACTTAAGCCCTACTGGAGTGCCAGTGCCCTCAGCAATGTGTTTCAGTAGGCTCCACACGGTTTTGTGACCAATACGGGTTATCTTCCACCCGTACTTGAACCCTGCCCCGACAGGGAGGAATCGTGCCATCTATCGCTTCTGGGCATCACAGTGCCCTACAGTTAACTGATGTCCACAGACCCTGCCACCTCCCTTCCCCAACCACCCAGGCAACCTCACCCTCCCTCCCTAGCAAAAAGCTGGGGGTCCAGAAGTCCCAGGGAGATCTGTCTAGCCCTCAAGCTCTATGCAAATCTTCCAAACCAGTCCAGGCCAATGACTACCAGTGTAAACTTGAATCATCTTTAGGGTCAGGCAGTTCACCACTTCACTTCCTGCTGGACTGAATTTTACGTCTAACAACCCCTTCATATCACAGAAAGAACCTTCTTGACTTCCACTAGTCTTCAAAGATACCTGAGATCAGCAATACTTCTCATATTTGGGATTAGAGGCCCCTGCCCCATACAAAATTATACATACAATTCCTCAGGTTTTCAACAGCCATGAACCCGGTTTAGATGGTGGGTACAGAGAAAAAAGCAAAGCAATCATGGAGACAGCTCACGATGGTGTGGAGGGTGCTTTACACAACGTAAAACCTGAGATCCGGGACAGGATAACAAATGAGAAGGGTCCAGAATGCAAAAAGGAGTCTGCACTAAAAAGTAGGACAGGGGTCAGAGCAGGCAGTCTCTGTCCGACTGAATGTTTTATTTCAACAGACATCCCTGGTTTGGAGGAAAAAAAAAAAAAAAGGTGGAGGGAGGGGTACATTTCATCACACCCAACAGGGAGCAAAACTCCCATCCAAGAACTCAGAGCCCCTTCTGAGGCATCACTCGAGTCTTTGCTAGCTCCAAGACAGAAAGGAGCTGAAGTTTCTAACTTTGTTAAGAAAAATCTATCAAATATGTTCATTCTCGCAGAGCGAGGGCTGGGTCCTCAGGAAAGAGATCCCGGGCTTGGAGCAGCTGGAGTCCCAGAGGTGAGGCTGGGGGCCAGGCCAGCTGGGCTACAGGAGATCCTGGGAGCAATCAGGTCCGGAGCCCTAGAATCCGTATTTGGCTTGGGTCTGCC